TCCTGCTGATTTCACATGACAGTGCTATTTTTAACAACATTTACTGCTGACAGTTACAAAGGCAATCACAAAAATCTTCCTTTATTTCCATGGTCTGAGTACTAATTCAGGCTTTTGGTTTTAAAACTAGAACTTCACTGAATTACTGTCCATACAGCCATTGCTGAGGTTGTGTATTATCCTGTCAGCATAGTCTCGTTTTCCATACTCCAGCAAATTTACCTTACTGGGGAAACAGAAGTGCTGCATCAAGACACAGGTAGAAAATTTCAGCTGAACCAAATTTAGAAGCTTTTCTTGGCCAAAGGGTAGCATTTGAGGGAGGACTCTACTACTCCTGAGCAATGTTATCTGCCTTTCCTACACCCTGCCCCAACCACAAGAACTGGGGGAGGAGGTGTGGGGGGGGGACAGTTATCCCAGGACACCAGCAATGCAAGGAGCCATCAGTGCTCTGTGTGATAGACAGTAAATGGACATGAGTCTTCAGGTTTTGGTACAGTCTGAGTTGCTGCCAGATTACACTAAAACATGCTACAATTATACAGGTGATTGTACATATAAAATTCGGTTTTGCTGACGCCAGACTGCTTTAGTGAGCATGAATTTAAGCATTTCATTTATCTAAACTAAAAATTTCTTTCCACTATTAGACCTCATCACATAGATGCAAAAGCCAGACACCACCTCTCTGTCCTAATGCGGGCTGCAGTCTGACACTGTGCTGTCCAGGCGCTAGAGTCAGTCTCTTTTCCTGAGCAGAGAAGGAAAACAAGAGGTAAATGGAGAGCGGAGTATATAAAACATCACATGTTTCAGTGTTTGGTAAAGCAAGTCAAAGCAGTTCTTGGTACTCAAGAAGGAATCGGTAAGATCTGGAAACACAATTATCACTTAAAATGAGCAGGATGTTCATAAGGGCTGCACTCAATGGAAACACAATTATCACTTAAAATGAGTGATGTTCATAAGGGCTGCACTCAGACAGAGCACTGATGGCTCCTTGCATTGCTGGTGTCCTGGGATAACAGTCCCCGCACTGGAGGAGCACGAGTGCAAGGCGAGCGGTTTGCTGCAAGAGGGTAAGGCGCAGACGTAGCAGCTCCTTTACCAGGAAATCACAGGAATGCTCAAAATATTTTGTGTTTGTACCTGTTGTACTGTTCTTTTTTTTAATCCAATAAAGTGGCATTTGTTAAGTCACCTGATTAATTATGTGAGAAGGCAGAAAGCAAGTGCCCATGTCACCAGTTTAGTTTAACTTTCCTCATTTTTTGGGTGGCTTTTAATTGGCACAATTGGTACAGCAACATTGAAATAGGTCGGTTCATAGCCTAGCTGGATCAGATGTTATTTAGTTGCAAGTTGACGAGTGGCCTTTCATAACTTGTCTTTGATATGTTAATATTTAGCCCCAGTGATCATTCAGGTCTTCCAACTTTTAGTTTAAAGCCTAGAAGAACAAATGTTACAAATAACAGTGTACAAAATTAAAAGTCTATTTTTAAATGGGTTTGCACTTCAGCCCATTCAGAAATTCAAAATGCTCCTCTCACTTCAGAGAGCAGCAAGTAGTCCTTTTTTTTTTTTTTTTTTTTTGCAGTGCCTGCCTTTTAAACCAAAAGGTTTAAGAGAAGCATACGAATAAACAAGATACGGATCAGATACAAGGCCAAAGGACACGCAAGAGTTACAGGAAAGCCACCGCTCCTTTTGAAAACCAGTTCCCAGGTTATCGGCCACATAAAGCATACTTACCCCCTCTTTTTGAAACCAATGACATAACGCTCTAGCCTTTCGTAAGTAGCCAAGATCACATCTTCATTTGCATTGCAACAGGTACTAGAGCAAACCTGTGCCTATCTCTGTCCCGTTCCCCCTCACCAAAGGATGGTCATGCCAAGATGTACGCAAACACAGCACCTAAGTCCCTTCCTATAGAGGCAGATTAAAAACAAGAAACATCCTGCATCTGTGGAAAATAAAACACTGTGCGATGGGCTCTGAGCCAGAGACTGTGAACCCAGGACTGCAGCCAGGATCCCCAGGACGGCACCATCAGCCTCGCTGCAGGCTCCTGGGATCCATCTCCCTGTTGGGTCTCTGCAGTTCCAGATGGGCTCACCTTCCCGTAAAGGGCTGCTGCGTTTTCAAGGGAGAAACAAGAGGGCTGCAATATCGCCTCTCACCACGAGATGGCAGCTGTTTTCTGACGGTTAGAGGGGAATCGGCTTTGAGTAGGCCTCTGAGTCCGTGACTCCTTAGCTTGCAGAGAAATTAAATTAAAGACAAAAATAAATTAGGACAAAGAATGGCCTCATTTATGGCCATATTTATGCCCTCATAAATGAACTGGATTTCGAGAGAAGTGGGGAAAGTGTCCCACATATACTGGGCATAAACATGAAAAAACCCTAGGCAGCGTTGCTGATGTAAAGATTTGGGTGTCCCTTTCTCACTCTAATCCTGCCTCTTCCTGTTACGAATCTTTTTAGCTGTGTAAGTGTGCTTTATGTTGTCAACAACACAGAACTTTGCTTATTTTTGGAGACAAAAAGTACTCTCAAAGTACATACTGGGTAATTTTGAAGCAAACTCATGAGGAAAGAAGGAAGGGAAGAGGGAAGGAAGGGAGGGAGGAAGAAAGAAAAGAACCTTTCTGTAGATATGCTAAGTTGCACATCTACCTAGGGCAGAAATACACCAACAGGCTTATTTATTCTTAAAGTTACTAATACATTTGGCCTTGCTTGTGTATTTTTCTCAGGAAGGCTGAAAGATGCAGCTGGACTAAGATTTTTAGTCAAGATAACTACTTTACATTCATCAGAGGAAAGAGGAAGTTAACACCATACACGCTACTTCTTACTAGTCATTTCTGACAGAAGCTACCTCTTTCTCATCTCTACAGTTTTAATGCTCTTCTTCATAGCGCTGTGAAGGCTATGAAACTAAGCCTAAACAAATCCAATATACCAACGCTCTCTCGTGGCTCAGTAGAGAAAGGTCGAAGCTCACCTTGCTAAGCCACCCAGACAGAACTTGCGCTGCTCTATTCTTCTCACATTTAAGATTCTTACGTGACCCTCTCTATCATAACAACCAATCCACGTTTATCCCCAATGACCTGCCTTTGAAATCAGGAATCATCATTTAAAAAAGGCAAAAAACAGTGGCTTTAAAGGCCAGATTTATAAGACTAGGTAAGCATTCAGGAGAGCACCTATAAGCCTGTTGCAGCAGGATCTGTCTCTAAGTCTCCCCTGCAGGACACCAAATGCTACTCACCTTGCCTCGGTTTCTCCACAAATCCATACTCAACAGCCACACCCAGGCCAACCCAGGGCTGCAGTGATGAGCTTGCCCACCACAGCTCAACCCAGGCCAATTCCAAACCAACTAGCAAGTCTGCCCGGATGTTTAATTGCCCCCAAAACAAAGCGTGCAGACAAGTCTCTCCTGAGTCTGGTAGCTCCTCTTTGCCACCAGTTTCTTCTAAGATTGGGCCAGTCCCAATCCTTGGCCAAGATCTGCACCTATTTACAATTACTATACAGAGTCTACCTTTCCACAACAATTCTTAGTGCTCCTTGTGTTCGGCCACCCCACCCACCAGCTAAGGCTGATAGCTGACCTTAGCCTGGCAGCCAGGCCTAGCTGAGCTGCAGGGGGGCAGGAGGGGCACTTTGTCGTTAAAGAAGGCAACAACCCAAGTCTAAGGGCACTCTAATCCACTACCTAAAAACTTGAGACTTATACGACATGTTGAAATCAGTTATGAGTAACTAATCACCTTCATGGATGGTAGCACATGATATTCTGTAAAGATTACAGAAGTAGGACAATCTTTAAATTATCATAAATGCCAGGCACTTTCTTTGAGCTCATACAAACAACCCTGTTGTGTCTGATGCATGTCAGCAACTATGTCTAGCCACAAGCCAACAACGTTACTTTAACTTACACCACCAGAAGTCAGAACTCACATGTTTTCACTGGCTAACAACTTGACTTGGAATTGTGGGGGGCAATCAGTTTGAGACAGTGGAAAAAATATGCAGCCTTGCACTGAGTGTTACCTCAGACAGTTGCAACCCTCTATCATTAGGTAGCCCTTCAGGAACTAGCGTGTTTCAGAGCTTCTGTACAAATGCCTTTCAACAAGCACTTGGAGCCATGCTGACTAACCTATCCTTTATTGTAGGCATCCAAGGGACAGCCCAGAAAACATCTTCCGCTCCTCTACACAGACCAAAGGCATATGCATGCAGTGAGTAAGGCAACTGGGCACTGGCACCCTGACTTTTTGAGAATGCCCCGTAGTTGGTTTCATAGCACAACTGGAGGCTCCTGGAGCACAGGACTGTACCTTTGGCGTTAAAGAACAATTATTAGGCTGTTTTTCTCTTGGGTAATGCTTCAGGAATGAAAGAATATAGTGGTTTGGCATGCCCTCATGAAGCCAAAGTAGGTGGGAAGGGCCACTGATTATCCTGCAGACACGGAGAAGGCAGAATAGGTTGCTAGCTATCGCCAGCCTCCTAGTGGAAAGACTGAAAAGGGAGGCTGTGTCTGGCATGGGAATAGGAGACAGATATAATAGAATGAAACTGATGGTCTAGTGGAGTCTTCAGTGTCCATGTGATTCTCTAACCTTTGTTATCAGATTAGTTATTAATTCAGGAAGAGTTCACCGAGTAGAGGCTTCACACCTTTCTAGTTAGCAGCTCTGCAAACATCCTTGTTCATCATCTTATAATTAACTCATCTTTCATACGGGAAAGAAAAAGGTGCATCTTCCATAACATTGTAGTGATGTGGTAGCTGTTGCAAACATAGGTGCATCTCACATGTAAGACGTTTTTGCACAGCACATCTAGTTGATAGTTCAGCGATTCCAAAAAATCGTGACTGAAGGGAAGGAAAAACAAGCTGTTTCCCTAGCTGTAAGAAATGAAAACAAACACAATAAAAAAAACCAAACACTGACAATCTATGTTTCTAAGTACTTTATGACAAGAGATATAAGAACACTTAAACTGGACATTCAGACCCAGTATCTTGTAAATAGATATAAAACTAAAAAAAAAAAGTGTACATCTTAATTCATGCCATATGAAGGGGAAAAATATTTAAGATCGTTTCAAGTATACTAATGAGCAATCCAGTGTGTAATGAAGTTTAAAGCTAACATTTTCAACATTCAGTACTGAATTTACACAGAATCCACAAATGAACTCAGAAGCAGCTTTATTCAAAGATGAGTCCTTGCAGCTTATACTGATTTTTCAAGAGCTACAGGAAATTTCCACTAGATGACAGGTTTTCTTCAAAATACTACAGGTTTCAGCCAGAAAACAGGAAAAGGGATAGATTTCAGTTAAACTTTTTCTTGATTCAGAAATGCCCCTGCATCATTTCACGTTCCCATTGTGAATCCTCATGTGAGGGCTCCAGTCAGATTCCCTGCTGGACAGGACCTACCACAGCAGAGCAAACTATACCACATACATATAGCTGTGGTACGCTATGAGAGAGAAAATTTGTCGGCACACCTGCCAACACTAATCCCTGAACAGAGCAACTTAACACAGACACATCACCCTAAATCATATATGTGGTAGGCCCAAAGTATGGGCATCAGGTTGGAGTAGCTGCATACAGGCTATTTGCACGTATGCAGTGGATGCCTCTGTAGGAACTGCAATTAGCAGGCAGCCCAGCCAGGGCGGTTATCCTCAAAACTGATTCCAGAACTCCCAACCCAAGTCAGAAGATTATTTGCAAAAGCCAGAGCTGATAGGCGTCTCTTGGGAGACCCCTGCTGCCAAGAGAGGAACACAAAACATCTGAACTGTAGCCTCTGTGACATACAGCAGTGCAATTGCCACTTAAAAATATGGCTAAAAAATATACTGTTCTAAAGTGTGGCAGGTTTTTGGAGTAATGATTTAAAAAAAAGAAAAAAAAAAGTCAATGAAAACCCCAGTCTTCCACAAGCTTTTTTTTTTTTTTTTTAATGCAAACCTCAAATTTAGGTCTTTCCTCACCTTGAAACAAGATCTTCAACTTCTTGAAGTAATTGCAGTAAAGCTAATTTATGTCACCCCCAGAACTAGTGCCTGACATTGAAAATGTTAGTCTTTACTTCTAGCTACTCTGTAACTATTCCCTTCAATATCTATAGTATAGTATTACTAGAAGTGCCTTCTCATTCTCCTACAGTAAGCAACTCAGCATACAACTCTACTTTGACTTCCATTAGCTTTGCTACTAATTCTTAATTAGTCATTTCTACTTGAGGAAAGTAAACAGTGCATCCACCTGTACCCCATTCTAATTTGCCCCACATCTTAGCATATGGTCCATTGCTTTGGTATAATACATCTATGTACATATTAGCATCGTCCAAGACGTTTTGGTATAGGTAACAACTAAAAGCATTCTTCGGTCACAACATTTCTTATTCTTATGACATTACAGCAATAAGCACTTTATACAGCCCACTATATCACTGATTTTTCAAGAGTTTTTTAAACACTAGAACTCAGTAGAATGGTTGGAAAAAGACCAATTTCTAAAATCGTTATATGTAAAACAGTACAATTCAGAGTACCAAAGTGACATAATCCTTTGGGAAATGTCAGTCTAAACTATCATTAAGTGCTTTAAGAACAATCCACCAGGACTGTAGGTGAATTCCCATTACAGTGACTTTAATCAATACATAAACTTGTGTTTAATTCTATGCATGTATGCAACTGCTCCGGTGCGGGACAGAAAGTATGTCAGCCCACAGGACTGGGTTGTGTTCTCTTGAAGAAAACCACAGCTTGTCAACAGGAAAGTTACAGTCAGTACTAAGGACATACTTACGGTAAGGCATTAGCTGTCTGCTCCCACTGCAAAGTGAGAAGCATTTGAGATAAACAGATAAGAATATTCAGGGTGAGCATTTTCTTCAAAACTTTGGAAACTGATTTCAAGTCTAAAGCATTTTAATTGCTTTTTTGTCCCTAATGGTTACAGGCTGGAAAGCCTCTCTGAACTGCATGATTTCTTCTGTAGCAAATATACGCACGCACTAATGAGGTAAAACTATGCAATTACTTTGCTTAATGTCTCTCCTTGTTTTTAAAAGTGAACCAGAACTTAATTTTTCTGAACACGACGTTCAAACTTTAAATTAATTGGAACATGCAAATCCAAACTGCTGCTTGGAACACACAGGTGTTCCTATGCCAAAACCAGTGTCATAAACCTTCCTTAAAAGAAAGAAAGAAAGAAAGAAAGAAAGAAAAAAAAACCCTCATCTTGTACTAGGTGGAACACGTAAAAAACTGTGGAAGGGCTGTCAGCAAGGCCTAGAGACTCGCCTTCTTTTCATGGCTTTCCTAATAGCAACTGACTAGGTTCACAACTGCTGCAGTAAAACTAGTGGTCTGGCTTTTTCATTCCTCTTCTGCTTAGGAAGCCTACAAACAGCAGCAACGAAACTGAAGGTGTTTGTAGACTCAAGAATACAACCTGCATTATTCAGCTTACTTTGGAAGGTTATCTTTGCAACCCTGAGGGCAGAGAGGATATGTATGCGTATACAGTACATAAAGTTTACACAGTATACAAACTGTCAGCACAGGCTCTTTCTCTGGCAATGGGAAGCTTCCCATCTACTAGTGGCAGCTAGTCCCAACTTTTAACCGATACAGACTAACAATTTTCTTTGACCTAGAAGTCATTCTGGTAAGTTCTGTCCCCTCTCTTGGGCCATTCTTCCTCCACCCATTTCAGTAACACTTTCACAACATCAATCCTCTTATAAAATTTACAGAGCTCAATCAGCTGCTCCACAGTCCTGTCACTATTGCGTAGCAAGAACTCCAAGGTGGGACTTTGCGGCTTCTGTTCAAGGAAACACAATTCATCGTAAGTCATCCCCCATTTGCTTGCTAAGTTTCTCCAGTTTTTCACTGTTGGGTGACAGGGATCCAGCTTTAGCCTCACAGTGTACAACAAGTCCTCATCATTGAGCATGTCACTGATGGTCGGTGCACGAAATAAGCACAAGGAGCAGGTGCCATTTTCCTTGCAGGCTTTCTTGAGATCTGCAGTTAAAACCATTACAGAGGGAGAAGTTAGGATCTGATGCTGTGGTTTCGCCATGAACAAAAAGTTAAAAGCACAAAGGGTTGAAAAATATCATGTTTCTGAGAACCATTTCTGAAACAGCCAGAATAGTGATATTTTAATGCCTTTCCCTGTGAATTACTCATGAAATTAACTTTCCAAGACTTCTCTTGACTCTGTCCAAGGTCTATAATCAAAAGGACAATAATTTTGAAAATATATTATTTATCCATTTATAAAAAAGGCACGTAGCTTGTGCCACTGCATGAGCTGGCATATTCCCTTTTTTGTTTTTGGGAACTATCTTTCTTCCAGGAAACTGCCATAATCCCCACTTACTCCACCAACAACATTATGTGCAAGGGACTTGTGTTAAAATCTTGCACAGATACGAGGCAGAATAAAGGCAAAGGCTTCACACTCCTGAGCTGCTGCCTTTACAAAAAAAAAAAAAAAAAAAAAAAGAAATATTTGCACCAGGAGTATCTCTGTTGACAGCTGCAAACACAGCTAACATCTAGTACTTTAAATGATGATGAAGTGAAAGTGTTCCTGTGTTTTTAAACCTTCTTACAATAGAATTCGTCCCTGTTCTATCTTCTAAGAAGCCTACTTTAAATGCATGCTATGGAAAGAAATAAAATGCATACTCCTCCTTGTCAGAGGAAAAAAAGGAATACCACGTTGCTGGAAGTAGGTGGCGATATGTTCTAAAATCTGCATCAGATATCAGAACTTGCCATTTAGAGGTCTCCCACACACAACAATCAATATCTTCCCACTGCTCTTAACAGTGCAGTGCTATCAGACTATACTATGCATTAATAACCTGTAAAGGTAAGTAGAAACCAGTTCTAGCTGTGTTTCTCATTAAAAACTAAGGCCTTTAACATTTCAGTAGTCTAGGGTACTGTTTCAACATTCTGGCTGCAGATGTGACCTTAACTAGCCCCTTTATGAAGGGAGGGAGCATTTGACATGTCCCAAGAACAGCAAGATAACGGACATAGCCTAGAAGTACTCTCTACGAGTTCTGCTCTGCAGCCTGATTGTACAGCCAAGTAACTGCTCCTACTTGGGATGAAACAGCCTGAAAAAGGGACATTGCAAGAAGAGAAATGTATTAATCACGAGATTGATTTAAAAACAACAGGAAACAGCGACACACAATTTACAAGCGCTAGATCAGCGCTGGTGTAAGAGACTTGAACTATAGCTCTGGGAAAGGCCAATCAGTCAACGCCACCCTCTCATACAGATAACAGCATCTGTTAAGGTTACTGTTAGATTGTGCGAAAGTTCCAGGAAGACTCTCAGATACTGACTTTTTACGCTGAATATTAGTCCTTATGAAAGCAACTTAGCTGGATGTAGCTTTTGTGTGCGTGCTGGGTTTGATTTCTAAGGGAAAAAACAGGCTATTGTTATTTTTGTAATGTTGCTCATCGGCTTGCTTTTTTAGCAGGCTAAAGACAACTTCTGAACTTTTCAACAAGCTAAGACATGCAGCTATAACACTGCTGCAGACACATAACTTTATATGACTGTTCAGATTTCCTATTAAAGGGAAAATATGTTCTGGTGATATCTTTGCTCTCAGGTATTCCACAGGCCTTGCAGCTGTTCTCTAAAGAAAGGTATATATTAGCTATTCTGCTTTTCTTGTACACCCTAAACTCTTGCTGAAGTGCGAAAAAACTTGCTTGCTTTAGTCATACCAGGATTTAGTTATACAAACAAGGGAAAATGAGTCTAATCCAGTCAAAGTTCTGGATGAGCTCAAAGGGCAGGAGAGCACCCTATCTGAATTTCATCTTACTTTGCTTTGCAAAGGTGCCAGACTAAGTTTTATCTTCCAATAACAGCAGAGAAGAGGGGGTAAGGAAAACATAGGGCACGATTACAGGTAAACAAAACTAAACCAACCTGCTTCTTGTGCTATACCTTGTACAGACTGTCAAAAGCATTATAAAGAATTCTGCTTTTCTAACATGCCCTATGTTAGATACTGATGAGCAAAATGACGACCTACCCACCGAGTTGCATGGTCCTAATGTTACATGATAGGACAAGCTTCTTCATTAAAAGGAAACTCTCAGTTGTTCACTGTTGGATTAACAGGGCTGTATATCAGCCATCCCCCTGCCAAGCTCATACCATATGGGATAAGCCCACACTGCCTACTGCCAGCCTCTGCTTTCTACATATATGTGTTTACAGATTTTTCCTCAAAGGTGGATGTACTAGACGTATGTGGACAGCCGACGTGTTTTATATGATCTGCGTTATCGATACCACCCCCTTTAGAACAAACAGACGGCTCTAACTGGCCCTGGTGAGCATATACAGACCATACCTTGGTAATGAAATGAGCTTCACCAGCATTGATCATCCAGGCGGTTTTAGGTAATGGCAAACAGCAGTTTTTAATAAAGCCCTTTCAAAGAAAATCTAGGAATAAAATACGTAGAACAGTAAAGCTGATGTATTACCTGAAAGCGATTCATCAGTATGGTTTTGTGAGTCTCTCTCGTCTGGCTAAAAAGCAGAAAACAAATATAGATCAAAACACAATATTCAAACATCAGAGTAACTACTTGCTTAATTTACAAGTGACAGGAGATTACTTAGAAGAATCCTGAGCTACTTGTAAAGTCAGACAGGGAATATATCTGCTATGAGAAATTAGCAACAATCTGCAGTCTTTTCAGGAAGCATTTTTATGTTTTGGCTACTCCTATGATAGAATGGCATTAGCGCTTCTAGCAGTTAGTACTAATCTATTATTTCCACTCTCATTAGTTACCATTAGATATAAACTTATTTGGAAACAGAAATTAAGACATTAACAGAAAAAAAGAAGTACACATACTCATGCTTCTCCAGCGAATATAGCAGAAGTCTCAAGTCCTTCAACCTTGGAGCTGCTTGCTGAGGAATCCATGCCAGCAAAGCATCTGATGAAGATGCCTCCAGACTTCAAGCTCATTTTGCTCTAAAATAAGCCTTGTTTAAGTTGCCACAAAACTGCTCTTTTAGTTACATCTACTAAACAATGTTATCCCTATCAGGGACATGCTATGGAGTTGCATCTTTGGAGTAATTTGCTCTTACTCCCTCCTTCTGCTTCCCCACATTTTTCATGTTTGTTTAATTTTCCTTATTTGACTGGTGTTAATTCAATACTGACTGCAGTACTCACTATTTGAAAAATGATAGTCTTATTAATTAGGATTATAATTTAATCTTATTAATCATTAATCTCTTATTAATTATTAAAAGATGACCTCCCAGTACACAGTCATGAAACACTGCTGCTGAAC